ATGAAGCTTCAAACACTAGGGTCGATACAGAACAATTTCAAAAATTAATTGCAAGTCTTGATTAAGTTTATATGAGCAAGAGAGAAATTCAGAAAGAGGCTCCCTCTCTCTCCTCCCTAGTGGCATGACTTCTTATTTGACACAGATAGAACGCTAACCGAGTCCTAGCTTTTGCTAAGGAAGTATAAATTGTTTTCTTAGGGGAAGCCCCTTGGTCTTATCAATAGAGAATGAGATGACTCGAATTGTGATTGAGGTTACAAGTCATATAACTCTGTCCTTAATCACTTGAAAATAATCTTAGAGACAGGCACCATGGAAATAATATCCAAAGTGGCTTTAGAATTGTATTAATAATTATAATTACAACAATAAATTTACGGCACGCAGTAAAATGATTACTTCAATAAAAAGTATCACTCTGTTTCACTGACTTGTTAGTAAAACTCATAATACCAGGAGACTTGTTTTCTGTACTGTCCTTTCTAAATGGGTTAGTAATGTAGTGTATTCTGCAATGCTTTATTCCACTGCAGTTTTGTATGTATTTAGATGAGCGTAACTAATGGTTTTAAACCACATGCAAAGTTTTGTGTTCTGATATTTGCTCCCCAGACTCTGGAGCTATATGCATCCCCATCTTTTAGACAAGGCTCTAGATCATATGTTAAGCAACTCATGAGACTACCATTCAAGTCCAAGTCTTCCAATATTCATGTTCAGGCTCATTTTACTATCACATGATATTGGAAATTTATTGATATTTGAGGCATGATCTCACTTTGTTGCCCTGACTGGCCTGGAACTCATTAAGTAGAGGAGGCTACACTCAAACTCTTCCAGCCTTCTGAGTGCTGGGATCAAAGGCAAGTGCCATGATATTTCCAAAGCCCGTCTGTGGGGGTGAACTTAATGGAGAAAATAAAAAGAAGTGATTGGATTTAGTTATGCAAACATTCATGTCTTGAACCGATGTCAGTTCTAATCCCACTCAAGTCAAAACAGTTAGTACATCACTGAATTTACTCATGAGGAATTCAAGGAGGTTTTTCTGTTTTGTCTTTTCTTTTAAATTTTATCACTGACTCAAACTTGAACATATTTTCTTAAAGAGAAAGGGATTATAAGCAGTCACCTTCTTTTTGTGAGTTATATCTGCCATGGAAATCATAGATTTTAATGAAGAAGCATGGAATTGCTAAAGCAAATATGTTCAAAAGGAAGCCATCTCTGGCACATCTGTTATTAGAAATTACCAAGTTGACCAATGACCTTGGAAGCATTTTTTGTTCTCTCAGTTCACCAGAGGTTAAAACAAAAGGAACTCAAGAGATTCACAAGTTTTAAACAGTGCAAATACTATTGTTAATTTTGAATACATTTGTGAACTAGTCTTTAACTTAAAAATGAAAATGCATTTTGTTAAGAAACATTCATGCTTTATTTTACAGTAATTTCCTCAATTGTGCTTTGAAATTTTTTTACTCTGAAAAATTTGAAAATTGTTTATTTGAAAATTTCAAAATTTTGCAGGAAAATAAAATGAAGCAACCTCAAATTTGGAAAAAAGAAGCAATCAAAGGGAGACAGTTTTAACAATACAGTCACAATATGTGGCATTTCTAGTCATTTCCTTTGTATGAACTAACAAGAGTAAAGTACCATGTTTCCTTTAGAATTATATTTAGTAATTCAGACCATAAACAATGGGGGTTCTTGACTCAGTAATGCATCTTCTCAGTTCTGATGACCTCTCAACTGTGGCAGGAGATGATGTGGCACATTACAAAGACCCGAGCCTCAGGAATTGAAACAAGCTAGGCACAGTCCCTTGCTTCTTCAAATGCTTGCATTTTATCAAACTACTTAACTCCTTTGAAGTCCTTTCAAAATATCTTTCCTTCCAAATTCCTATGAAAATGTGATGCTATATTAACCTTGATGTGAGGTTTAATCTGAAATGACTCCTGTAAAGTACTTGTAAAGGCCCACAGAAGAGACCCAATACATGTTATTAGCACAAAATAACACATGTTTTAAATTGAGTAGCCCACTTACTGATATTTACTGTGAAAAATTGTCATTGATTTTTCCAAGGTTTTATTTCTCTATCTAACAGAAACTATTCACTAAAAAGGCACAAAAACTGTTTTACATTGTGCACATTTCACAGGAAATTATAATATGATTTTGAAAACTGCATGCAAAGGGATGAAGAAGTCTATGCTAATTAAATATAAGCTTCAAACCATGAAAATCAATTAGAAGCTTTTTCCAACATCATATTGCTGTGTTTTATATTTATATTGCTTTCCTCTGGAAAAAATAAAATTCTCCTTAAGTTTAAACTTAGACAATGAAGCTGATAGAATATGCATTAAAATATTTGTTTTGAAAGGGAAACAGTTAATTATTGAAATAAAATATTTTATTTTACTAATATTTGTTGACATTTTAGTATTACAGTACTATAATGCTGTTTAATATTCATTTATTTTTTCTAATTCCTTTGCTGACCAGTACTTAAAATTGTCAAAATTAAAAACAAATTGGTCAAAAAAAGAATCTGATAAAATCCAAGTTCAAAAGGAGGCCTATTTCTCTGCTTCAAAATGCCGATGCCTTTGGCTTTCTTTTTTGGCATTGCCTTACCATTTTCTGGATGCTACTGAACATATTAGCATTCCATTTAACTGCACCATACAACCAGAGAAACAAAGACTCAAAATATGCACTGAAGCAGGGTTTCTCTGTGTAGCTTTGCGCCTTTCCTGGATCTCGCTCTCTAGACCAGGCTGGCCTCGAACTCACAAAGATCCACCTGCCTCTGCCTCCCGAGTGCTGGGATTAAAGGCCTGTGCCACCACCGCCCGGCCGAGTTGGGGAATATTAATAATAAGAAAAAATAAAAACTAATGACTATCAACACTGTATGTAAAGAAAGATTGAACACAATAAATCAACGAGGTATTTCTTGAGAAGAGCCTCGGTTGTGTTTTAAAAGGAAGCAGTAACACACAACGGTGTAAACAAACAAACGGAATCAGGCTGATGCCACTTGCACCCTAGGAAGTCGAGGTAGAAATAGCAGCAAGCTTTTCTGGAGAGATCACTAATGAGCTAGTCCTTCACATGAGGCAATATCCTGACTTTGGACCCAGTTCCTTACCTCTCTGATATCAGTCATTCTCAATTGGGCCTCTTTGGGTTTATCCCTTCCCCAAACCAAACTCCCATCTGACCAAATATAATGTCAAGGGTGATAGGTAAGATTCTTGTTCAGAACACACTGATTATTGCTTTTGGTGCACTGTGGATTAAAAACTAACATTCCGTTTTAAGATTCTGACAAAATCTGAGATTACTTCGTGGTCATGGGTTTATCTGTGGTATTTGGCTACTGTTGCTAATTTAGTAGCAAAGTGACAATTGCTGATTTTCCAAAAATACATTGTTTCCCTTTTCTGTCATACTATGCAGAGAAGCATCGAAACTGGACAGTATGAGAGAGAGGGGAAGGGAGAGAGAGAAAGAGAGAGAAAGAGAGAGAGAGAGAGAGAGAGAGAGAGAGAGAGAGAGAGAGAGAGAGAGAGAGAGAGAGAGAGAGAGAGAGAATTGTTGATAGCTACAGACACCAAGTAGCATTCACCTGGATACAGATTTACTAAATTACTGGATACTTAACCTTTTAACATCTACAATTCTTCATATTAAAAGATAGTTTTGGATATTATACTCAATTCTACAAGCTGTGCTTTTTCTAATAATGCATATTTGGTAAGGGGTTTTATAAATTAGTGGTTTCAAATAAACCTCATCTAAGCTTAAAAAAAAACAGCTTTCAAGTATGTTAAAAAAAACAAGTCATCTCTGTCTTGTTAAAAGGTTTATTTTAATTGTATGTCTCTTCACTACATGCATGCAGTGCCCATGGAGGCCAGAAGAGGGTGTTGGATCCCCTGAAAATGGAGTTACAGATGATTGTATTATAATTTTTAAACATGGGACTGGGTTAACTTAAAAAGAAACTTTAATTGGCGTAGTCTACTCAAAGCAATGTTTGGAACTGCAAATATTGTGCAGAAGTGCATAGGCTTCCTTTGAGCTTCCGTATTCTTTATGTTCCTGAAAGGAAACATTTTCAGTTTGAAAGGGCATGAGTGCACGTACACACACACACACACACACACACACACACACACACACACACACGCACGCACGCACGCACGCACGCGCACACACACACACAATACAGTCCTATTGGTATGATGAACACTGACAGCATCTATATTTCGTGACCATCAGAGCAATATAGTTGATCATTTAGATATTATAAAGCTTGATTTCTTTTTAATTTCATGTGCATTGGTGTTTTCTCTGCATGTATTTCTGTATGAGGGTGTTGTTCCCTCTGGAAGGTTACAGACAGTTCTGAGCCACTAGGTAGGTGCTGGGAATTGAACCCAGGTCAACTGGAAGAGCAGCCAGTGTTATTAACTGCTGAGACATCTCTCTCACATGAAGTTTGGCTATTCTTATCTTTATAGTTAAGCTATGATTGTTTATGCTCTCAAGATAAAAAGTAACCCTGGAAAAAAAAGTAACACTGAAAGTTCATTGGCAGATAGTCTGGGAAATAAGAATAATGCAAATGTTTAGGTGAAAAATAAACACATATATTAAAATGCTTTTGGAAAAGAAACCTCATTTATGCTACATTTTAACCATAAAGTAAAAATGGATCTGTAAAACATAATAAATTACACAAATTCAGGTATTCCCACTTTTCCAAGTTTGTTGATTTTAGTAGAGAACTTCAGAATATTATGGAAAGAATGACTTAGGTTTTATTTGGTAGAACATGAACAAATGAATTCCAGATAGGTTTGACCACCAATTAAACTTTATAACTATGAAACAGGTAAATGTTTATAGTATTAAACATTATAAAATCTCAGGCATGTTTCTTAAACCCAGGCTTAACCTTGTGTCTTTCACAGCTACTCTGGAAAACAAGAAGAGAAACCAACCCAAACCCAACCAAAACCACAAAAATATGTGAAATCCTTACAGCAGAAATGATGGGCATTTCTGATAAGAGATACTGAATGAAGAGTAGTGCTGTCCCTGAAATCACTTCTGGATCATCCCTCTCACCTGATGCTGCCTACCTTGGAGACTGAGGGAAATTTGGAAAAGGGAACTGAAGTCTCACAATTTGGAAGTCTCCCTTGAAAGTAGGTCCCTTTAGACCTGGCTACAAAAGAGTGAGGTGAAACTGCTAGTTTTTTAAAACTTTTTTCAACATAGTTTCATTTCTTTTTTTGTTGAACAACTTTGTTATGTGTCAATTCCTTGCACATATGTTCAAGGTGCTGGGGTCCCTGAAAGGCTAGAGTTAAATTGATGTTAACACTAAATGGAGTCTCAGCCTCCATGGAGAGAGGTTCTGGGAAATGGAGATTGATGTTTTGGATATGTCTGAGTGGTTTTGGCCAAGTTGTCTGTTGATTGGAAATCTCAAGAACTGAATTTTCCTGGGGATCTGTTGCTTATTCTTTATTTGATAAAAATATGTTTATCTATGATTAAGACACATACGATTACGTTCATGTCATAAGTGCCGTAAATGAAGACAATGTTTAAGCCAAAACGTATAACTTGATTACTTAAGGAACTTCATTAATCTTTATCATCATTAGCATTATCATAAACATGTTGGGAATCAGAAATATATCATAATTATTTTAATAGTATGACAGAATCAAGCTATGCTAATACGAGAACACTGGAATTAGAAATTGGATTCTTTTTTACTACAAAGAAAAAAATCCCCTTCCTTCTTTCTCAAAATTTGTAGTTTGAGTTTAGCTGACCATAAACACAGGATTCTTGGGGTGTGTGTCAGAGGCAGCGCACAACAAGCTTACTCCAGACTTTCTCAAAGGTATCAGGCTTCAAGATTGTAAGTCAGAAGATACTGTGTTATTATAAATAGTCAAACAAATGTAATATTCTTATGCTCAAAATAAGGGAACGCTAAGGAGCTTAAGATATGGTTTGACTTTTAGATTGCTAACTGTAAGAACACTTTAATTTATATCTTTGTTCTCAAATTGAATCCATAAATATGAAGACAAATTTGACATGTCAAAAAGGAATGTAATAAGTCTTAAAAGGTTTTTAGTTTAATACTCATGAATTAGATAAGAAATGGTAAACTTTTGGCATTTAACATCTGCTTCATGTTATTGTGGTGGTGTCTTAAATGACTGCTGTTCACCCTGTCTCTTTGGAGTGTTCTTATGTTCAGGTGTATTTGTGAAACTGCTTCTAGATGAGAAGGCGGTGCTATAGTTCAGTGAGTTGTAGGTGACAGTATACATAACAAAATTGCATGTGTTACAGCACATGGACATCTATTTTTCCCCATTGGTTAACTGTTTTATTTATTTCTCTTGGATTTGAGTTTAAAGCCAGGACTTCATATAAGCTAAGAATACTCTTTGATCTACAACCTCAGCCTTGCTTGGCAACTGTATACTTACTATTATTGTAGATCTTGCCTTATAATATTAACTCATCAAAAAAAGAAGAACAAAGATAAGAAAGAGAGAGAGAGAGAGAAATTGGCCACACACAGTTTGTGTGTGTTATTGAGATATATTTTAAATATCAGTTTTTCTGAAAGATGAATTTTTAGTAGCGTTTACTAAATACTTTTGAAAGTCAATATACATATATCAGAAAAAGCATATTCATCTGTCAGCAGACCTAATACTAAGAGAATTTAAAGCAATCATACATCATCAGTGACAGTTTCTTATCCTGTCTGAGTCACTGTTTAAAAGTTACAATCAACTGTGACTTGGTTGGTCATTTGTAATAGCACAGTTTATTATCCTGAAATCTGCTACCTCTAAAAAAAAGTTAGGAATACACTTTCTGCTCTCTGTCTCCAGCACACATGCTGAGAACTTCACAATAATAAAGTTATACAATGTACAGACACAGAATAACTGTGAGATAATGACTGAAAGTTACAGGGTGGCATCCCCAGAGGGTAAGGTCAACAATTGAAAGTGTGCATGGTGCCTGTGTCCTTCTAGATCACAGAACATGTGCAAAGGTCTCATGAAAGCAAATGGGAGACAGATGGACAGGAAACATAGGCAGGAATGGGTGAGATTCAGATACACACGTTGGATATATATCCTGATCCTGAGTTCTTCCCCCTATATTGAACAATATGAAATGTCTCACTTCACTCTCCCATACACTGAGGTCCATCCACCTAATCCCAGTTCTTTGTGCTCACAAGATGATAGGAGAACTTTCCTCTCAGGATTGTATACTGTTATCTCTGATAAGTAAGCAGTATTTTTGTTTTTAATTTGTGTTTTCTTAAATGAGTGGGGTTTTTTTTTTGGTTTTGTGATTTGTCTTCTCTGTAATTTGTTTTTCCATTTTAACACAGTCAATGAATTAAATTTTTAATTTTAAGCTCATTTTCGGCTTATGATTTTCAAATAGATATCTGTTTGCTTTTTCATTATGTATGTATGTGCAAGTAGTGTGTTACTAGTGGCATGTACATAGCAGTTGTTAGTATATATGCATGGGTTGTAGTATGCATGTGTGGTGTATGTATGTGTATACATACCCCTATGTGTGCGTGCAGATGCAGCCCTGCATCAAGGCTGAACAAAGCATCCCACCATAAGAAATAGGTTCCTAAGACCCAGCTCATGCATCAGAGACAGGTCCTGGTCCCACTGCTAGGGGTTCTCACAAAAGACCAAGCTACACAACTGTCACCCAGATGCAGAGGGCCTAGGTTGGTCCTGTGCCAGTTCCCTAGCTGTCCACCCAGAGTCTGCCCAAGCTCCCACATGCTCAGGTCAGCTGTCTCTGTGGGTTTTCCTGTCATGATCTTGATACCCCCTTGCTCATGTAATCCCTCCTCCCTCTCTTCAGCTGGAGTCTTGGAGCTCAGCCCAGTGCTTGGCTGTGGATCTCCGCATCTGCTTCCATCAGGTACTGGATGAAGGTTCTATGACCACAGTTAGGGTTGTCACCAATCTGATTACAGGGAAAGGCCAGTTCAGATGCCCACTCTCTCCACTATTGCTAGAAGTCTTAGCTGGGATCATCTTCGTTATTTCCTTGGAGTTCTGTTGGCACCAACTTTTTCCCTAACCCCATAATAGCCCCTTCTATTTTTCTATAATATTCAAGGATCCAGCCTTAAATGTATGCAATTCCAGGGCCCAGGAGAGACACTAGCTACCATCGGCACAGGAATGAATCCAGTTGCTCAGAGCTCTTTCCTTCCATTCGTTTATTAGTCAGTTACCATCATTCAATCACTAGTTCAACTCTCTCGATTTTGTTCATTTCTTAATTCCCCCAATATCTGATTTCTCTAAATTCCCCTAGTTCCAGTTCTCTTAATTCCCTTCAGTTCTCAGTTCCCTCAATCCTTAGTTTCCTCCATTCCTAGTTCCCTCAATTCTTAGTTCCCTCAATTCTCACGCCCTTCTCCTGGATGGGGGGCGGGGTAGTTTATATCCTATCCTAAACAGTAACACCTTGTGTTTTGTATACAGCACAAGATTGTAGAGGTCCCCACTAGAGGCTTCCTGGCAACTTTATCTGCAACCCAAAAGGGGAGAGATAAGAGTGGAGTCAGTTAGTAGATGGGATAAATCAGAAAAGGAATTTGTGTGCTAGAACTATGTCCTTATTGTGGTTAGGTGAAGGCATTACGAATCTATCAACTATAGACTTACAGTGATAGGATAGGGAAAGTCTGTAGGTCACTAAAAGTTAAAACTGTCACTTTTTTCCTCTGCTGCCAGTTTCCTGACAGGGCAGGTTGGGAAGAGTACTGATAGCTAGTCAGTCTGCATCACAGCTTGAAACACCTGCTGAGGGGAAACTCTCTTTAATCTAAGAGGTTCTCTAGGGTGGGGGGCAGGGAGAGAGAGAGAGAGAGAGAGAGAGAGAGAGAGAGAGAGAGAGAGAGAGAGAGAGAGAGGAGGCCTTGATTTGCACAAGAAACAAAGCTTGTTCGTCTAGTTGGTAGGCATTTGGCCTGTGAGACATGTAGTCTCAGATTTTATCTAAGTTGGGGGGTTTTCAAGCGTCTAACAGATAGCCTGGTAGCTGTCTGTTCCTTGCTTGTCTTAAGACTTTGTTTGGGGTTGACTCTATCTTAGGAAGTAGCTCAATGAGGGTATTTGCAAAAAGCAGATACTCAATACAAATGCTAAAGAGGGGTCCTGGAGCTTAGAGGCAGAAGGTTCTGTCTAGGTGACTATCCAGGTGTTTTGAAAAGGAGGTTCACACACACATACACATTTTAGGAGAATTATGAGCACAAAGAATTCATAGCAAGGCACAACTGAATATTAAGCCGCATAACACCAATAGTCCTTGCTGATTGGCTTCCCACGCGACTGACCTTTGGCTTTGTCAAGGTATAGCTTATAATATACACCTGGACTTCTATTTCATATTCCTGTGGCTCACCACACTCTATCAAGATTTCTCTTTATTTCTCTCCTCTTTCATCTTGCCCCCAACTCAACCATCCTAATCCCTCATGTTCGCATCCCCTCATTCCCTCCCCACTACTCACCCCTCCCATGCCTCCAGTTTACCCAGGACATCTTGTTTATTTCCTCTTCCAAGGGAGATCCATGTGTCCCTCTTAGGGTCCTCCTTGTTACCTTGCTCCTCTGGGACTGGGGATTGGAGCCTGGTTATCCTTTGCTTTGCATCTAATATCCACTTATGAGGGAGTACATACCATGTTTGTCTTTCTGGGTCTGGGTTACCTCACTCAGGATGGTTTTTCTAGTTCCATCCATTTGCCTGCAAATTTCATGATGTCATTATTTTTTGTTTTTGTTTTCCCTCACACACACACACACACACACACACACACACACACACACACACACACACACACGCGCACGCGCGCGCACTTACAAACACACACACACATACACTCACACACATACACACACACACTCACACACACATACACAGAGAGAGAGAGAGAGAGAGAGAGAGAGCGCTTTAAAAGTTAAGGACTTCGCGGGCGGTGGTGTCGCACGCCTTTAATCCCAGCACTCGGGAGGCAGAGCCAGGCGGATCTCTGTCAGTTCGAGGCCAGCCTGGACTACCAAGTGAGTCCCAGGAAAGGCGCAAAGCTACACAGAGAAACCCT